CAGCAGGAGGCCTCATTAGCTAAAGTGGTGCTTGAGGTTAAGAACAGTTTCAGGTTAAGAACAGACCTCCAGAACGAATTAAGTACTTAACCTGAGGTACCACTGTAGTTGCCTAGAATCAGTTTGCTACCCGTCAGAACACTGATCAGAGTTGTCAAGAGTGACAACTATCTGTTTAGTGGTTAATGCACAAATATCTGTAGACAGTTGTCCATTGTTGTTTTTAAATCTGATTTTTTATTTCAGACACAAATGAACTTGTGGGCACAATCTGCAAAAGCTCAAGGAAAATTAGTATCAAGGAGACACAGTAGTGTTAAAACACAAAGCTTGGTTTTTGCCAAGCTAAAGATAAAAGGCAGTTTATATGAAGGAACTTATTTGTAAAAGGATTTCCATCCCTTACCTTGATTGAAGACTTTTAATTCTGCACAACATATCCAGGTGGCCTGCTGAATACTGTTCTATGACATCTTTAACATCATAGGGACGCAAAGTTTCTTTAAATTTCCTTTTGGCAACATGAAATTTCATGATTCTATACAAGAAATACGATCTAGATTAATTATCCATATGCACTTTATACAGTGGTGCCCCCAAGACGAATGCCTCGCAAGATGAAAAACCCGCTAGACAAAAGGGTTTTCCGTTTTTCGATGCGCTTTGCAAGACGATTTTCCCTATGGGCTTGCTTCGCAAGACGGAAATGTCTTGCGATTTTTTTCGCTCCCCCCCCCTTTTTAGCCTTTTAGCCGCTAAGCCTTTAATAGCCGCTAAACCGCTAATAGCGCTAATCCGCTAAGCTGCTTAATAGGGTTGCTTCGCAAGACGAAAGAAACGCTAGACGAAGAGACTCGCGGAACAGATTATTTTCGTCTTGCGAGGCACCACTGTACATCAAAACAAGGCCATGAAAGTGGCCAATCAATAAGCTCACACAAAATAATCAGCAATTCTAGATAGCCTAAGGATGATAATATTTTTATGAGAACTATTTAGGAATTAAATGTGCTTAAGAGGCTCCATTCCATGGGTAGTATTCAACTAAATATTTGTGCTAGCACAAGGATTAATGCTAGTGCAATGGAACTCACCCCCCTTTGCTGTGTACATGACCTGCCACTATTTCTAAATATATTCTGAAGTGCTGGGGAAAAACCTCAGAACACATTTAGGGGACACAAGGAGGAAGGAGATGGAGAAAAATTCTTGTGCTGATGTAACACTTCCCTTAGCACTACAACCCATTATTTCTACTGTACCATGATAAATGAAAATATAAACAAGAAGTGGGGAACCTCCAGGCAGTGGGTCAAACATGGCCTTCTATCTGGCTCTCGTAACTCCCCCCCTTCCAATGCCATAACCCCTTTCTTGCTACACTCCTCACTGGCCTACTTCACACCTTTAACTGCCTTTGCCTGGAACTGGGACAATTCCTCTTGCTTGCCAATATAGAGGATGCTGCATGGTATGTGGGTGTGTGCAGAAACCCCTGGCTTCTGCACGACTGTAATGTGGTCAACTATTGCAAACTACTGTAAGAGTTATAGCCACTGTCTCACCCTGTTTTGACCTTGAGCCCACAAACTACAGGCATGCAGTTGCCGGAAGGTTGGCCCCAAGAAAATGTGGTTCTTGGGTTGGAGAAGATGTTCCACTCTTGATATCAACTGTCCCAATATCATGCCTATACTGAAGGATAAGCACTTTCCAGAGACTGAGAGAAACTTGTGCAGGTTTAAGTGAATGTAAAAGAGAGATTGTTTTCACTAATGCCAAGAAATAACTCCATCCCATTCTGCAAATGAAGTTTTATCCTTAACACCCAAGCTATGTGACAGCAACAGACCTGTGTTTTCAGTGTACCTCTGTCACAGTTATGGCCCCAGCTGTACTGTACATTTACTATATTACACTATCACATGGAAATTGTTCCAAACATTTTCTTGTGTGTTATAAAAGGTGCTTAAATTTTCATTTTGCAAAAGGAAACTTTATTTGTGTATTCATTTTGCTTCTCATTAATTATTAAATTGTTACTGTTTATTTGAGTTAGACCAGCAGCTTATTCATTTAATTGCTTTGGTTGTTTTGAAACCCAATCCTAGAACACATTTGCTGAGGGTCTACCTCCTCCACTAGAACCTTTCTTTCATAACTCCAATTCATCATTCCAATAAAAGTTGTCAAGCTTCAGCAACTTTGGGAGGCTAGATAGTTTTGATTATGATGAAATGAGGCAAGAAATAGAAATCAATTATAAAATATATGTTTTTCTCTTAGTAATCAGGGAAGAAGTACTTTGCTGCTGGCTTATTTCTAATGCTATTTTATTCTGACATATTTTCCGATACAATTTATGAAAACGCTACATAATTTGTCATCAGTGAGATGTTCAAAAGATTAAAAAGCACTTTTCTGACATAAGTATTGGTCAACTGAACTATTCCTTACAGGTGGCAATTTGCATCATTTTCAATACAACATGTTGATGGGTATGTTCAGCAGAGCCTATACTTCCAAGTAATGTTAGATTTAGATAAACCGAAATTTCCTCTGTACACTTCATAACATACTATTTGGATCATAGAACTGAGAGTGGAAAAAAATCTGCTACAGATGCCTGTGACAAAGCAGACTCTAGTCCACATAATCTTATGACACAATAAATAAGTTACTAATTAAAGATTCTTAGTTGAATTAGAATGGTACATCAGCTAGAGAGCACTGACATACTGTTGCCAGAACTATTTTATTTGCAAGAGGCAAAGCAAACAAACCACTCAGTTTTTCAAAGCACTATTCTAGTAATCTACTTGTCTTGGACTACATGTGTTCTAATTTTCAGCATTTAATCTGAGTATGGTGCAAGTTCTTTTTCATATACACTGTACATTAAGTATAGTTATGTTACAGGCACCTGCTGCCCTGAAAACCCAATAGGCAAGGTAGAAAGAAGTGGCCTAAACTTCCCTCTTCCATCTCAGTTAACAGATGACTGCGTAATCTGAAGTGCAGCTGGACTTCGATTCAATCCAAGTACAGTGTCCCTACAATTTGTTGTGATGGTATTTCTTCTAGGTACATCTGTGAAGTTTGATGTGTTTTCTCTTGTTAATGTATTTGCCACCTACCTGATAGCTCTGATTACTGTTTTAAGTGCAGGGGTGAGATCTTCTACTGAGACATCACACTGGCATCCTCTTTCATCATATACATCATCTGTAGCGATACTGGCTTCAGCTGCAAGAGAAATTCCACATAAATTATATGCATACCTATAGAGAATGCAAGGGTCAATTAAAGTATGGAAAGGTCAAATATTCTAAAAGCTGTCAAACTCAAAATAATCTTGCTGGAGGGAATAATTGGTCTTTACAGAAAATTTAACCTGTAACTGTTTACAAAAGCTTACTGGAATTCTGTAAAGTAGGCATGTAGAAGCTTAGAAAAGAAAAGAATAGAATAGAGTGTGCTATACAGCTCAAATAACTGAAAATTCTGTTAGAATCAATATGGAACATTTCATTAGACTTAATTTATTCAGCAAAAAATGATGTTCTGGGTATATTGGGCTTCCCAGTGTCTTTATAGGAAGTCACTAATACAGATGGATGCTGGAAGTGGAATTGGAGAGATCGCTGATAGTTGCAGATGTCCATTTAAATTCCACTCCTATGATATAAAGACTAGCAGCAGGACAAAAAAAGTGTATTTTGTGAGCCTTTATGTTTGCCAGATTTATCCTTCAAAACTGGAAGGACAAATAGCAGTGGTCCAATGGCCTTACTGCCCTTGCTACATCTGAATGCATTGCTTATAAATGTCAGTTTTATTTGAATTATCTGCCAGGACATTTGGATAGCATATGTCTACTTGAATCATAGAATTGTAGAGTTGGAAGGGACCCTGAAGGTCGTATTGTCCAACCTCCTGCAATGCAGGAATTTCAATGAAAGCATCCATTACAGATGACCATCCAACTTCTGCTGAAAAACCTCCAGTGAAGGAGAGTACACCACCTCCTGAGGAAGACTGCCCCACTGTCAAACAGCTTTTATTGTCAGAAAATTATTCCTGGTGTTTAGTTGGAATCTCCTTTTTTGTAATTTGAATCCATTGGTTTGGGTCCTAACTTCCAGAGCAGGAGAAAACAGCAGAGCCCATCAAATGGCAAAGGATGGGGTAGCTGGACAGGGCTGGGCAGAGGGACAACTCCACTCCATCTGACCTCTCACCAGGGCTGATTACGGCTTTGGATAGTTCTGTAAGATAGTATAAGTTTCAGCAATATTTTTTGTGGTTTACCTTGGCAAGAGTGGAACTATAAATGCAGCTTTCATTTTTTCCTTAGAGTGCTGTTCTTAGAGTGAGCAACAGCCAAGGTATATCTGCCTACTCAACAAAATAGAAACACTTTTATCATCCTATTTGCTTGTTTTGTGAGAACTGTCAAATGCTGGCAGTAATCAAGCATTGATCAAGGTCTAAAGTCCTCTCTTCTAAGTTCTGCTGATGTACTGAAAGAATGACCCAAGTCAAGTCCCATTTCAGCAGCTTAACTCTTTGAGGCCAAAAACAGAAGTATATTCTAAAATAGGTTTTTGGGGAGTCCCGTTTTCAGAGGCAATTTTATTAATTAGGGGGCTCAGAATTATTACAGGCAGATACATTTGCCTATTGACAGATTATTGGGTACTGGCACTTCCACTCCATCACACTGTTAGCCTTATCCTTCATGAATTTGTCTTTTAAAGCTGTCTATCAATGACCGCTAGTCATGATGGCTAAATACTACCTCTTAGGTCAGAGGCACTATGTTTCTGAATATAACTCAACTGCAGCAGGGTAAACTAGGGCTGCCAAATTTTGGCCCCATACTCAGCACCCCACATTGGATTTCTTACTAATATTTATCTGAATTAAATACTAATTTCTGATAGCCTTTGGCACATAAAGCTTTTTTATTTAATTAAAACAAAATCCTTCTGTTTCGAATAATTATGCAGAATTGCAAGATGTCTTAAAAGCCGTAAGAGCAATAGTTCTATGGTTAAAATGATAATCACATTTTAACTGTGACTTAATGATTCCATCATGAAACAGTAGACTATAGTCACTATACTGTGGCTTTCTTTGCTTTTTCTTCCTTAACTCTGGGTAGTTTCTCATACAATGCTTTGAACTCAGGCACTCCGGTTGGTTGGCCGGAGGGTACCAATCATACTTATTCCAATGTCCTGTGTACTTCACAGATCTGACTATGATGGGGAAGGGATGGTGATTGGGATGGCCACAGGATTGTTACCCCTTTTTTGCTTTTTAACTCAGAAAAGCAAAAACTTCAGCTGCTGAAACACTATGTGTTATGGAGATGCAATGCTGCATCAGCTGCAAAAAAGCTGGCAAGCCTAGGAAGGCAACACTCATTAAACAAACACCTGTCATTCTTAATATATGTCTTGTAAACCATGCAGATCTATCAGGAAAGTGTATTATATATGAAAATTATTCATTGTAAACCACTAAGGAACTGAATAGAGACTGACCAGAGAGCAAGACAGTTCAACTGAGAAGTGTTTTTGTACAAATGAAAATAGTCATTAAAAAGACATAAATAATATAAAAGGACAAGGGAAGAAGTAAATTGAGGATGCCATAACAGTGTTTCCATTTTTAAAAATAAGTTTCTAACCCTGACGACTACAAAATCACACTGAAGGCAATGAAAGGGCAGAATTCATGTGAGCTTACAAAAATAGGAATGGAAATCAAATGCATCCTTGGAGAGTTCTTTTTAATAACGTGAAATGTCTGTGCACTTTCTCATGATGGAACACTTTGATGGGTTAGTAAGTTGCACCATCCCTTCAAGATATATTGAATACTAATTATCTCATATAACAGGCTGGAAAGATTAAATGGTTTGGATACAGATTAAATAAATTCCTTTAGGGAAAAAACCACAAATTCAAACTGAATAGTTTTCAAACATGGCCTACTACCAGCATGTAACAAAAGTAGCTTTAAATGTAGGTACTGTTCACAGTAATAAAAAAGAACTAAAAGTAGGCAAAACTTTTTTGGGGGGGCGGTGACGCCTTTCGATTTCCAGATGAGTTTGTCAAGCAGACCAAGGAGGTTTGTTTATTTTGAATTCATCCAAAAGGCCTAGAAAGTTCTATTTGGCTCAGTTTGTCAGATCTCCCTCCTAAAATATTAGGAATCTTCTGTAGTGCAAAAAGCCACACAGAATTCATCCAGCTTTTCTGCAATCTCTTTTAAGAAATACCATAACCAGCTCTGTAGTTGGCTTCCTGGTTCTGATTATTATTATTATTATTAAGGCAGAAAGGGTCTTTTTTAAAGCAATATGCTCTTTACATTTTTTTCACATTCCTTATTGTCTACTTTCATTTCTTTTGTCAAAGTTCTCTCTCTCTGTGTGTGTGTGTGTGTATGTATGTGTCTCATTTGGGTAAGACTTCCATTTTCTGAAAGAAACTTCCTTGACTCTGCTTGTAAACTACTTTGGTGTCCTCTTGGACTTAGTGGCACCCTTTCCAGTTTGTAAAAGGTAAAGGACTCCTGGACAGTTAAGTCCAACCAAAGGTGACTATGGAGTGTGGCGCTCATCTCGCTTTTCAGGCCAAGGGAGCTGGCGTTTGTCCACAGCTTTTTTTGAGTCATGTGGCCAGCATGACTAAACCGCCTCTGTCGCAATGAGACACTGTGATGAGTGCCAGAGTGTACTGTATCCCATGTAGTATGAGAAACTGTCACCAGAAGGATTTCAACCCTCTGTTGTGCACAGGTACGATAGGGTTTGTAGCCTGCCTGTTAATGACCAGATACAGCCCATATAATCTCTGGACTGCCCTGTATATGTGAAGGTACAGACACATAAAGTACCTTTAAATTAAGCAGCAGTAGGAGAAGCATGGCTTCAGCAAGATTAGGATCAAAGCACAGAACCTCCTAAATGTCTGTGGCTTTACTATGATGAAAGTCAAATTTGTGGTTGTAAGCTGGATGATAACTACAATGAGTAAAACACTTGATATTTAAAAAAACCAAATAAACCTTACTATCTGGCACTGGCTTGGGCTGTGAACTCTTCAAACGTAGGGAAGGTCGGAAGCGTGTTCGGTCATTGAAGCTCCAGCTCTTTTGGACTTTTGTTGGGCTGCCCTCTGCCGTAATATCAGTACTTGGTGATCTCCTGTCACCAACTGAAGCTTGCCTGTTCTTGATACTCTGTCCACGTGGGCTAGCCATCCGTACCCGTTCCTTAAAGCTCAGTTTTTGACTGTGAAAGCAGAAAATTTATTTTACTTCATACTTCATTCCAACTCACTGTAATTGTTGCACAGTGCTGAATAGATGTACATATATGTCCCAATCTACTGAACAGGGTGCACTCAGATGGTTATATGAATCTATTATATGTGTGGAGGGGGAGTCACCTTTCATTTCAAAGGAATGGCTGTGTAAAACAGCTCCCTTCACTGAAATGAATGGGAAAGCTGTTCTGGAAAGAGAGATAATTTCATGCCACTGCATGAACCCTCCCACCTGGATCATATTGCTAGATTGGGGTAATAAGGCAAAGATCCTCAGGTGCATACTCCAGTCTTGTGGAGGGATCTCAGGAGGAGGAAGAATTGTGGCCTTCCTCCCCTTTGCAGTGGCTCTCATAAGTTTTGGCGTGGCTAGCCCTTCACTCTAAAATGTTTCTGCTAGGGAACTGTATGTGTGTGTGTGTGTGTGTGTATATATATATATATATATATATATATATATATATATGCAGGTTTTGGTGTCCTCGGGTGTCTTCCCGTGAAAATCTACGAAAGCATATATATATATATATATATATATATATATATATATATATATATATATTCCCCTCACATAAGGGACAATGGGTGCATGTACAATTCCTATTTTCTGTATTTTATTTTTAGATAAATTTTGAGATAGCTGCATTCATTTTCAATATCCTAGGGATTATAATCATTTTGTGTTATCTACTGAATAAAAAACATATTGTTTACGTCCTATATTCTAAAAAATGAAATAAAGTAAAATAAATATAAAATTTCAAATATCAAATGTCATAGCAAAGCTTCAGTTTTAAACCTTTAGACAGTTGTAACTATGTCTTAAAGTAGCATAGCATAAGTCAGTGCATTTCTAATAATCTAGGAATAATATTGTCAAGTGCTTTTTTGCATGCCATTTGTTAAGAGTTACAGCAAGCAAGATTATTTTTGTTATACATGCATTTCCCCCCAAAACAAGACTTTAATACTCCACAAACATTATTAGCAAACATTACATTTCAAATTCCGTATTACAACACTCATTTGGACAAGACAAAAACAAACATTAAGAAAATTAACAAAATATCTAATAAGTATTATCAATGAAATGAGTATTTCACAAGAGTGTGACATACACTGGTGAATTTCTTGCAGCTGATAGCCCCAAAGCACACTAATGAACTTGGGTTGGAAAATCAGTCAACTGTTAGCGGATCAAAGATGCTCTATAGCTTCAGATTTCACATCTAAACAAAAACATCAAAGATGCAGGCTGCTTATTTTTGAATGATTCTCTTGTTTACTTGCAAAAAAAGGGCATTTAGAAATTAAAAGTTGCAGAGTAATCTTCGTTCACATTTTCATGTGAAATATATACATTACTCTCAGCTGAACACTAGTAATGTTTGCATGGTGCAATCCTAAAAAAAAATTACTCAGAGGTATGTCTAAATTAAATAGGACACTCTCTAGTACGTGTGTCTAGCGTTGTAGCCAGTCACTATACATCAGTAAGACACAAATGGAGGTTCCATGTTGGAAGAGATGTGGAATGGTGCTGGGGTTCATAGATTTAGCTCTGCCATTGCTCTTTGCTTCCTGAATGGGCAGGGAGTTAGACAGAAATATGTTTGTATTGCAAGTGGAAAAATCTCTAGAACTGGACCAGATTTTACTGGTTTCTGCAGTAAGAACATAAAGTTCTTGTAGAAGCAAATCCTTAGGGGCCATCAAGATACATGTGGCAAAGATTATCTGCCTGTTGCTATAGCTGCTAATCAAGTTGAGGTCCTGTCTGTTCCACTTGTCATGGTCCTTGCATCTTACTGCAGCATGACAATGCACAAAACATTGTAAATGGAAGTGTGTTCTAGAATTACTGAGAAACTTTACAACGTACTGTTCCCTATGCCTAGCTCCAATCTAAAAAGGAAATGTTCTGTATGAGAATATAAAATGAAATTATGAGGCACCATTGTTATGATGTTTATAGATAATAATAAAAATTGCACATGCAACTTAGTACATCTTATCCGCAGTGCAAGCAGAGATCAGGCAGGAGATCATATGCAACAAATCAAGCACATGCTGGACAAATGGAGGGAGTACTAAAATCATATTACCACAATTTACCGTATTTTTCGCACCATAGGGCGCACCGGACCATAGGGCGCACCCAGTTTTTAGGGGGGGAAATCAAGAAAAAAATCTTTCCCCCCCCCAGCCCCAAAGAGCAGCGTACAGGGTGCGCACAACCTCTCCCTGCCGGAGGGGTTGCGCGCAGCTATGCAGCAAGCCAAGTTTTGGCTTCCCCTTTAGCCCCATGCAGCCTCTCCTTGCCGGGAGACGCTGCGCAGGGCTAAAGAAGCCATAGCCCCGTGCAGCCTCTCCTTGCGGGGGGTTGCGCGCAGCTATGGAAGAAGGCAAGGCAGCGAGCGGGATGGATCCCGCTCGCTGTTTTGCCTTCCCCTTTAGCCGCGCGCAGCGTCTCCTTGGGGGGGTTGCGCGCAGCTATGGAAGAAGGCAAGGCAGCGAGCGGGATGGATCCCGCTCGCTGTTTTGCCTTCCCCTTTAGCCGCGCGCAACGTCTCCTTGCGGGGGGTTGCGCGCAGCTATGGAAGAAGGCAAGGCAGCGAGCGGGATGGATCCCGCTCGCTGTTTTGCCTTCCCCTTTAGCCGCGCGCAGCGTCTCCTTGCGGGGGGTTGCGCGCAGCTATGGAAGAAGGCAAGGCAGCGAGCGGGATGGATCCCGCTCGCTGTTTTGCCTTCCCCTTTAGCCGCGCGCAGCGTCTCCTTGCGGAGGGGTTGCGCGCAGCTATGGAAGAAGGCAAGGCAGCGAGCGGGATGGATCCCGCTCGCTGTTTTGCCTTCCCCTTTAGCCGCGCGCAGCGTCTCCTTGCGGAGGGGTTGCGCGCAGCTATGGAAGAAGGCAAGGCAGCGAGCGGGATGGATCCCGCTCGCTGTTTTGCCTTCCCCTTTAGCCGCGCGCAGCGTCTCCTTGCGGAGGGGTTGCGCGCAGCTATGGAAGAAGGCAAGGCAGCGAGCGGGATGGATCCCGCTCGCTGTTTTGCCTTCCCCTTTAGCCGCGCGCAGCGTCTCCTTGCGGAGGGGTTGCGCGCAGCTATGGAAGAAGGCAAGGCAGCGAGCGGGATGGATCCCGCTCGCTGTTTTGCCTTCCCCTTTAGCCGCGCGCAGCGTCTCCTTGCGGAGGGGTTGCGCGCAGCTATGGAAGAAGGCAAGGCAGCGAGCGGGATGGATCCCGCTTGCTGTTTTGCCTTCCCCTTTAGCCGCGCGCAGCGTCTCCTTGCGGAGGGGTTGCGCGCAGCTATGGAAGAAGGCAAGGCAGCGAGCGGGATGGATCCCGCTCGCTGGTTTGCCTTCCCCTTTAGCCGCGCGCAGCCTCCCCTTGCCGGGAGACGCTGCGCAGGGCTTTCCTGGCTTTTCTGGGAGGGGGGGGATTCCCTCACCTCTCGCAAAAGCCCGCAGAAGCCGTGAGCTCTTTAAAGGGGCTGCGCGGCTTCTCCTGGCTTTTCTGGGAGGTGGGGGAATTCCCCCACCTCCCGCAAAACCGGCAGAAGCCGCGCGCACTTTAAAAGGGCTGCACGGCTTCTTCTGGCTTACCTGGGAGGTGGGGGGATTCCCTCACCTCTCGCAAAAGCCCGCAGAAGCCGCGCAACTCCTTTAAAGAGATCGCGGCTTCTCCTGGCTTTCCTGGGAGGTGGGAGAAGGGACTGATGCGGCCAGTCAGACCCTTCTCCCTCCTGTGGAAAAGCCCGCAAGAGCGCACGGAGCTTGTGTGCGGCTCTTGGGGGGCTTTTCCCGCCTGCCTCCCCCCCTGCATTCGCTCCATAGGACGCACACACATTTTCCCTTGCTTTTTAGGAGGGAAAAAGTGCGTCCTATGGTGCGAAAAATACGGTAAATACCTTTTTCAACTCATTATAAATCATTTCCCAAAAAGCCTTCACCTTCGGGCATGTCCACCAGAGGTGAAAGAATGTTCCTTCAGCCTCCTTACATTTCCAACATTTATTATCAGATAAATGATATATCTTTGCAAGTTTGACTGGGGTCATGTACCACCTGTATATCATTTTCATAATGTTTTCTTTCAGGGCAGTACATGCCGTGAATTTCATACCGGTGGTCCATAACCTTTCCCAGTCTTCAAACATAATGTTGTGCCCAATGTCTTGTGCCCATTTTATCATGGCTGATTTAACCGTCTCATCCTGTGTGTTCCATTTAAGCAACAAGTTATACATTCTTGAAAGCACTTTCGTCTTAGGTTCAAGTAGTTCTGTCTCTAATTTCGATTTCTCCACCTGGAAGCCAATTTTTTTGTCCTTTTTAAAAGTTTCTTGTATTTGGGCATAATGTAGCCAGTCTCGCACCTTGTCTTTTAATTTTTCTAAACTCTTCAACTTCCAATTGTCTCCAACTCTTTCTATTATCTCACAATATTTTGCCCAGCCACCCTCCATGTTGAGTATTTTTGAGGCCTTAGCCTCCATTGGTGATAGCCACCTCGGAGTCTTATTTTCAAGTAAGTCTTTATATTTGATCCAGACATTAAACAAAGCTTTCCTGACAATATGGTTTTTAAACAGTTTATGAACCTTTACCTTGTCGTACCACAAATATGCATGCCACCCAAACGCATTGTTAAACCCTTCCAGATCTAGGACATCAGTGTTTTCTAATAAGAACCAATCCTTCATCCAGCAGAAGGACGCAGCTTCGTAATATAACCTTAAGTCCGGCAGGGCAAATCCCCCTCTTTCTTTTGCATCTGTTAGTATTTTAAATTTTATCCGGGGCTTTTTGCCCTGCCAGACAAACTTCATGATGTCCTTCTGCCACTTTCCAAAACATTCCACTCTGTCCACGATCTGCAGGGTTTGGAACAAAAACAACATCTTTGGCAATACATTCATCTTTACAGCTGCAATTCTTCCCAACAAGGAAAGTTTCAATCTCGACCAAGTTTCTAAGTCCTTTTTAATTTCAGACCAACATTTTTCATAATTATCTTTAAACAAATTCAATTTTTTCCCAGTCAGATTGACCCCCAGGTACTTCACTTTTTTAACCACATTTAATTCCGTTTCCTTCTGAAACCCCTCTATTTCTGAAAAAGTCAAGTTTTTTGCCAAGACCTTAGTTTTTTGTTTGTTTAGCTTGAATCCCGCCACCCGACCAAACTCATA